CATTGGTCACGCCCCACAAGAAAAACATGCTGGGAAATGGCAACTATGATGTGAACGTCATCATGGCTGCATTGCAGACTCGTGGGTTTGAGGCTGTTTGGTGGGACAAGAGAAGGTATTTTATTATGCTGTTGTAGTTTTAAGTCCTTCAAAAATTGTTTAAAACATGTGGCAAACTCTTAGAAATGTGCTTTTTGAATTCATGTTTGTTTCATATGGTTTTGAAAAATTTACATATCTTAAAGGGGTCATATGATGCTATTTTAAAGATCATTATTTAGTGTATTTGGTGTAACAGAATATGTTGACATGCTTTAATGTTCAAAAAACACATTATTTTTCAAATACTGTACATTATTGTAGGTCAAAACTTGAAATCGCATCATATGACCCCTTTAAAGTCAGCATGAAATAGAAATTACAGAAGTTTTCTTTTGTATTGTAATGTATAGCCAAGTAAAACTTGAAAATCAAAGACTTGATTTTGTCCACTGGAAATTGTTTTGATCGTTTGATCGTTGTCGTTTGCAAATTGCTGCAGTCTCGTGTGAGTGACGGGTCACTGGATGGGATGGATTATTGTCCCGTCCTCACACTGGTGCACATGTCATCAGAATTGAGATGTCATTGCGGGGGAGAGGGGTTTGTGTTTTCATTACAGGGGCACATGAATAAAAAAAAAAACACCTGGATACATTATTAATAATGATTACAGCAATATAAAAAATAGAATTGTGAATTATGAGTTCATGGGAACTTTAATCACTTTCAAAAAAATGTTTAAAAATGTTTTTCAAGATTGTTTTAGGATTAGTTTTTTCAGGATTACTTTTTTAAATATCTTTGGCCACAGCACATATTTTATAGCCTGAACTAACCTGCCTTGTGATAAAGGTCAAGTTATTTGATATTTTAAGAAACGTATTGACCTTTACACACAGTTATGAGGGTCTGCCATGTTTCTCTCTATAATATAATTTCCTGTTTTATTTACCACATGACTTAACTTTGGCAGACAAAAAGTTTTTGAGCTGTTAAAGCAGTGAAGCTCTTCTGTTAATTAAAGAAGGATTCAAATTAAGCCTTTTTTTAACATCTAACTTTATTAGATCCTTTTTTACATCTACTTTTCCAGAATTTATTTTAATGAGGGTTTTTTCATTATGATACCAAGTCTGTTGTATCACCCATTTTATGAACACAAAAATATAGGGATAGTCCACCCTAAAATTAAATGCATACAGGTCATTCCAAACCTGTATGCATTTCTTTCATCTGCAGAACATAAATGAAGATATTTTTTTAACATTGTTGGTAACTAAACAGTTTTGGTTCCCATTCACTTTAATTGTATAGACGAGAAATACAATCCAAGTCAATGGGAACCGAAACTGTTTGGTTACCAACATTCTGCAAAATATCTCTTTATGTTCCACAGAAGAAAGTCACACAAGTTTGGTGAGTGTGAGTAAATGATGACAGAATTTTATTTTTGGGGTGGACTATCCTTTTAAATTTACACCTCAGAAATTAAAGGGGTCATATGATGTTGCTAAAAAGAACATTATTTTGTGTATTTGGTGTAATGAAATGTGTTTATGCAGTTTAAGGTTAAAAAAACACATTCTTTTCCACATACTGTACATTATTGTTTCTCCTCTATGCCCCGCCTTTTTGAAACGCGTCAATTTTTACAAAGCTCATCAGTCTGCAAAGCGAGGTGTGCTCTGATTGGCCAGCTATCCAGTGCATTGTGATTGGCCGAATACCTCAAGTGTGTGACGGAAATGTTACGTCCCTACCATACTGTGATGCCCTGTCCGGC